CAGTACCTATTTATTTTTTAAGTATCAAAAAATAAACTATGCTACATTTTTCACGCTGAAAAAAATCATCATCACTAACCCATTTATACATCCCACTGCTCGGTATGGGTTTTCTCTCAGGCGAGAGTTTAGGCCATAGTCCGCTACGCTGGCCTAATGCGGGTTGGGTACTAGGTCCAGAAAAATGTAATTAATGGAAGTGATAAGCCGGTTTAAAATGGAACACTACTGTCGTTTTAACCGACTTCAAAAAAAGAAGGGGTTATATATGGAGGGGGTTATATATATGTTAGGAAAGCGGAAACAAATAAGATTTACGATCTTATTTGTTTCCGCTTTCCTAACACGTTAGATAAAACACTCTTTCAAAACTGTACCATTTCCTACTGCTTAAAAAAATCTTTTCATTTCCTATCTCTGCAAAATATATCGATTCAAAACCAGCCCTTAATTAATCGTTGCCAATCACAAGAAACTTAATTTAACTCATAACTTTTAACTCGAACATAAAACAAAAAAGTTAGTGATAGAACTTTTATTCTTCTTACAGCTTTCTATCTGACAAGAACTCTTCTATTGAGTAGTAACTTTTAGAGGCCAGTAATAACTTTAACAGTAATAATTAGAAGTGTAAGCCTATAACTTCAAAGTAATATGTAAGTCGAGACGGATTTTGTGTCTGGGAGATAAGGGTTTGATTATTAAGGAAATGATATTAAGAAATTTATATAAATGTTTACTTTTGATTGATTCGCCTTCATTAGATCGCCTTTAGACGGTTGTAGAAGCGCTGTAGTAGCGCGTCTGTGGTGCAATTTTCATGCAATATTTAAAAGCGCCGCTGCAGCGCCACTGTCGCGACACGCTCTCTTTTGCAGACTAGATATTGTATGAGATAATTAGTAGCACCACAGATGCGCCACTACAGCGGCAGCGCCAGAGCCGCGCTACTGCAGCGCCACAGACGCGCTTCTACAAGCTTCTACTTTAAAGCCGATGTACTGTGTGATTATAATGTCAACAGAATGTAGTTTAAATATTGTAGAAAGGGTATTTCGCTTCATGAAAACATTATTTTATTTTTAAAAGTAAGTAATACTGCATTTAAAGATTTAAAAAAAGTTGCTTGCCTTGCCTTAGAACCGAGCAAATGTGAAAAAAAAATGTTCCTTTATGATGTCGATCGAGAGGGTCAATTATATAGATTTATTCCTTAGTAACATAGAAAATTAATTTCAGGGTGTTCATACCATCAAGTTTTAAGTAATTCAACTTAAAGGAAAATGAGTTATAATGCATTTTGATGTCGATATTTGTACTTCAAGGTGGGATTCCGGCCCATAACACTCGAACAGTTAGATCTATTAACGATTGTTTTCCTTCCTGGATCGGTACACATGGAGTTAGATGGCCGACGAGATCTCCAAACCTGACTCCATTAGATTTATTGTTCTGGGGATACGTGAAATATTTAATAAACAAGAAGCAATAGACAATGTGGACGAGATAAAAATGGAATTATGGCGTATGTGCACCATAATAAGATAAGACTTTTTTGTGATATCAAGTGACGGGATGAACAAGTCGCGTGCTTGGTGGTAAGCGACACGCCTGTCCATTACCGTTGCAGTGCCACTCAGAGCTTAAAGATCTGAGGGATACAGTAAACAGTAAAATATTAAATAAACACCACAAATTGTATGAAAAAATTTAAAAAAAAGTAGTTCATAGAGCACGGAAACTGAAAAACATCTTTAAAATAAAGAACTCAAATAACAAAATGAAAACTATATGGCAAATAATTAATAAAGAAACGAATAAAAATATTCGAATAAAACAAAATGTTACACTAAAGACACTGAATTCCTGTCTTACAAATCCCAAAACCGTGGCAAATTCATTTAATAACTACTTTGCTAAAATTGGCGCACCGGAAAAAACCCTACAAGAATTAAATCAAAATCAAAATTTAAAATTAACAACTAAGGTCACAGAGCCCATCGAAAATTCTATTTATTTATTTCCTGTTGAACCACGTGAAGTTCGAAACGTTATTAAAAAATTAAAAAATAAATATAGTTTCGGCATTGATGAAATACCTCCCATCCTAATAAAAAAGTGTATTGATAGTCTAACATTGCCTTATACGGAACTTATAAATCAGAGCCTTAACGAAGGAATTTTTCCCGATTCCCTAAAAATATCAATCGTCAAACCTATTCACAAAAATGGCGAACTGACAGATACCAATAATTATCGGCCAATCGCATTATTACCAACATCATCTAAAATATTTGAATCAGTAATGTGTAAAAAAATGTATTCCTTTTATGAAAAATACAACGTTTTTGACAAAAATCAGTATGGCTTCCGAAAAGGCCGCTCTACGATTTTCGCTGTATACAAGTACGTAAATGAAATACTAGATACACTAAACGCAAGGAAATACGCGGTAGGATTATTATTGGACATGAGTAAGGCGTATGATAGAGTTGACTATAAAATCCTTTTGAACAAACTTTACAATACCGGGATTAGGGGTATAGCATACAAATGGTTAAAATCTTATCTCACGAACCGGGATCAATACGTAGAGATTGAAAATATTAACTTTACAACTGGATTAGTAAAAAACGTGCGTTCAGAACGAATAAGCATGACAAACTCCATCCCACAGGGTAGCGTTCTGGGATGTATTTTATTCCTAGTGTATATAAACGATCTTCCCAAAATAATTGACGATCACTGTATTCTATTCGCTGACGATATATCAATTTTATTCCCTTGTATGACAATGAACGAATTAAAACATAGACTTGACATTACATTTGACAAAATTATAAACTGGCTCAATGCACATAATCTGAAATTAAACTTTAAGAAGACCTCATTGATACAATTTAGACCTTACCAAAAAACACCTTTAAAATTACACTATGAATACGAAAATAGCGCACTAAATGTTGAAACAGCAGCTACTCTTCTCGGAATCCGACTGGACACTAGTCTATGCTGGAAAGCGCATGTGGAGAAGTTAATAAAAAATTTGTCATCTTCTATATATGCCTTACTGAACTTGAAGAAAGTTACAAACTTTCACACAGCTCTATCTACATATTACTCCTATATTCAGTCCAGACTCGCGTATGGCATAGTGCTTTGGGGAAATTGTACAAATATAAATGAACTTATGATTCTTCAAAAAAAGTGTATTCGTATACTAGTTAACATCGAACAAACAGTGTCTTGTAAACCGTATTTTATAAAACATAAAATTCTGACAATAACTTCTATTTATGTTTTGGAGTGCTGTAAATTTGTCCTTAAACATTTTGAACTTTATTCCCCCATTACCATAGTAAAACGAAATAATCGCGGCTTAAACAAACTAAAATTACCCTTTTCTACCCTAAGCCTATATAGGACAGGATCTCACTCTATGGCAATCCAAATATTTAATGCTGTACCAAATAGTATAAAAAGTCAACCAAATATAAAAAAGTTTAAAAATCACCTCAAAAAATATCTTCTGGACAACGCATTTTATACATTACAAGATTTTTTCTCAGAAAATAACACTCAAATACTGTACTAGTTTTGATTTGTTTAATGTAAGTTTTATTTTTGATATTGGGTATGATATGACAATTTTTTTTTAAATTACTATTATTATTTTGACTATTTTAGTAATGTATAATTTTTGACAATAAATATGACATGTAATGTAATAGATTATGTAAATGGAATATTGTAAAGTGTGCTCTCTCTCAGACGTTGCAACGCCCTACCGGGGTGCTATATGTATAAGGAAAAAATGTAAAATTTAGATCTAAGAAAACCATGTAGCAAGCAATGAATAAATGAAATAAATGAAATAAATAAATGAAATACCGCCACTGCGCCCGTCACCCTGAGACATAAGTTGACAAGTCCCATGTGCCTGTAATTTTACCAGCAACCTTATCCTTCAAAACCGAAACGAAGTAATGCTCACATAACCTTGGCGGCAGAAATAGGTAAGGTGGCAAGTACTGCTACCTGCTACTAAGATAAAATGTAAACATATATGTATATTCTAAAAGTTTCGGAATTTGCGTACAAGATGAAACAAATTTTGAAAACTTAATAAATTTATTGCAAAAGTTTTAAGGTTGTTCTTTTTTTTATAAAATGACGGTGTTTCTTTAATTTAAGATATTATATTACTTATAACAAATTTAATACGTATACGTATATTATATATATTAACCCTTTTTTGTAACGTGGTCGGTTCGATTTAAATATGAGGCAAGCAACTTCTGAAGTCCTTGAAAGCAGTATTACTTACTTTAAAAAAATTATAATGTCTCCATGAAGCAAATTACCCTATCTACAATATTGAAATTACGTCGGTACTTACTTTCCCTACGAGATGCATTCTTTTGGGACAATCTGTACATAAAGTAAAAAAATCGTTACGCTCATGCCACGATTAGTCCTTTTCATAGAAAATAACAGAAAATATAATTTGTCATAGTAGAACTCTAGACTGGAAAAGTTTTTAAGCATTAAGAAAGTACTCATAAAGATGAATAATAATATATAACGCTATAGCAACGACATTAACAGTCATGGGCATATACATGGTAACTTTACTATCAATAAAATCAACCTTATTCTATCGCTAGGTGATAATAAAAACCATGACCGTGACAGAAAAATTAGCTGATTGCGAGATGTCTGAGACACGCTTAGGCAGTTTGTAATTTGCCGTTGTCCAATGCACAAGTTAAAAAAGTTATCCTCGCATGCGCTGTGCGCGCTTCATAACATCGAAGCGCGGGAACATTCTTTTTTAATTTTATTGTGAAAAGGTCTATCTAATAAAACTTTTATTGAATTGAAAACTTTGTTTTTACGCATTTGACGTAATTTGCTAAAGTTATTAGTGCAATATATAGTGAGTGTTTATTAACGTTTTAATTTCATTTAATCTGATTGACATCGGTGATAGATCAATGAAGTCCAGGTAGACCCCAAGGACTGGCGACTGGCAAGAGAAGGCTCAGCAACCGGGGGGCGTGGCGAAATCTGGTGTCGGAGGCCAAGATCATCCCTTTAGGTAAGCACTACCAAAGTAAGTCAGGTTGACCTAGTGATAATTTGATAGATAAATAAAACATCGTTTAATTCTACGGAAAAGTTTGTAAGTTGGTAGTTCATTTACTTACAAAAAAACATCTAAACATTTGCTTCATTTTGTATGTGTTATTCATTTCATATTGATTATGTGTACTATGATATACATGATTTCACATATTATTAGATTTCGCAAATGATTAAGACCCAATAAGCGGTTATACAAACAAGAATATATTTTTTTATAGTATATGATCAGGTATGCAAACGGCTTGACTATTTTTTAATTGATCCTTTTTTAGATAAAGATTTATTGTCAATTGGTGACTTTACCATCTTTTTTTAAAATATTAAAGTTTACTGGGTTACTTATAGCAAGGAATGTAGATTTTGATATTGTAAGTATTCAACACAAAGAACTGATAATACACTAGTTGTCCATGTTCTATGTAGTTTGCGTTTAAGTAAAGTAAGTTTGCTTGTTTTTGTCTTTTGTTATTTTTTCTAAAATATTGTAGAAAAAACGATTTGTTAGTACGCATTTAGTGTAATCTAAAATGTTCCAACGTCTTCGTGTCAAATGAAGTACCTATAACAATGAGACGTTCCATTTAGCGATGTAAATTGCAGGAAAATGATAAGTAGGATGGATCTATTTAGCTGGGTATGGAATAGTTTATACGAATATATATTTAAACTTATTTAAGTTACATCCGACATACGACACAATTATGTATATTTATCTGTCAAGCTTAGATAGTAGTATGTGGATAAATATACCTAACGTCCGTAAGTACCGGGCGATGGAGTTTTAATAACAACTCTTTACGACTCACGATTCTACAGGATTTTAAAAGAAAAAACAAATGTTTTGGATAGTAACGAATAAGGAATTTTGTACTATACTATACAGATCACAATGATTTTATCAGAACAGTACACAATTCTTTCAATCAATCAATCAAATCCTTTATTTGCATAAAACATGGTGGTCATGATAACACAGTAATATACATATAAGTACAAGCATGTTTCGCTCGAAGATAATTTAGGCATGCAAAATAAATGAAAAATAGGTCGTCACATGGTTACATTTACATTAAGTTCTATATAATTAATTTAAATTCTTTTACATAAAATTTATTGTAGAAATTCCCTAATACTGTAATATACTTTACTCTTTAACAATTCATATAATTTAGTCTTAAATAATGTAATGGGCAAGTGTTTAATGTCATTTGGTAATCTATTGTAAATTCTGACACACATACACAAACAATTTTGATTATATTTTTCTACCTTAGGTACGTCCAAAAAAATTAGTCTATTGGGATTTCTATAATTTCGATGGTTCACGTCAATACTCTTAATAAACAAATGTAAATTATTTTTCACAAAAATGCTGGCTTCATAAATATATAAGGCAGGCAGGGGTAATAAACCAAGATCTTTAAATATAGGTTTACAGGATTCAAGCGGAGTCCTACCAGTAATTTATCTTTATCTTTATTCATAATACATGATTCCTCGTAATATGTAGGTATGAATCTTAGAATAACAAAACTTGGATCAAAAGGTCTTTTCATTTCTTTGAATATTGTAAGAGGGCTTCTGCTTCCGTGCACGAGTTTCCTGGTTTCTTGTTTATTTTTTTGTTAAAAAATAAGTGCGCATTTGACCTCGATCTCACCTGATGGAAAGTGACGATGAGGTCGACTATGGCGCACGCACACCTAAATAACGTCTTTTCACTCTCGCCTTGAAAACGCCCATTGTATACCGTTACGGAACATGTCTGTAGGCAGGAAATTCCACTCCATAGCTGTTCACCATATAAACGTGGAAGCGTAACGCTTCGTGCGATTCGTGGTAGGGTAAAACCGGAATAGATGCCGCAGTGGGATAGGTGCCTCGTTTTCAAAAAACCTAACTTCCCCAAATCGCCAACAAAGAATAATTAGTTTAAATAAGGAGCATAGACACCAATCTTCAAAGTTCCTGCAGGGCTTCGTGTGGAATAGACGCGTTTGGCTTGTGCATGCGTTTATATCCGCGACGAACACGATAAACGGTTCAAAATTTCAGACGCAAGTATTTACTGTCGCATAATATTGTAAGTTATAATAATTTCCGTTTTATTTTTATTATGACTATACACTGGTTCATTATATGCGCACCTAGGTGTCAATATTTGCTCTTTTCTATACAGCTTAGTTATGTAATAAAATGACATCTATCCATACCGAATAGGATAGACGCCTCGATTTTTTGCGGTGTAGGTGCCCTTAGGGGCAAAGGTTGTATTTATACAAGAAAGTTGGGAAAAGAAAATAAAAAATACATTATTTTGAAAGACAAGTAAATGATAATAGTTTAAAAGTAAGTAAAAGTACCAAAAAGACAAATTATTCACAGTTTTAAAATGGTTTAAACAGCGAACATTTTTGTACAGAATGTTTTGATAGCTACAAAAATACGTAAGTGAAGTAGGTAGTAACTTTAAATACGTATATATTTATTATTAAAGATGTAATATGTATATACAATATATTAAAGATTACAAATAAAACATTTTATTATGAATTTTACTATTTTATTCTAAAGGGCATCTATCCTTCTTGGTATTTTCATTGTGTGGCGTCTATCCATATAGGTAGGCATCTTTTCTCAAAAAAATAGGTTTGCAAAAAGTCAATTTCTTCAAAATCAGTAAATGTTAGATGAATAAAATCAAGTATTAATGTCATGTAAAAGATTAAACTATAAGTATCAATTTAACTATAAATATATACTATACTAATATACTAACTATAATAATATAAAAACTAATAATTTTTAAATTAGGAGACCCTTTCAAAAATATTGGGGCATCTATCCCGGTTTTACCCTATACTTTTAGGCTTATAAAATAAATTATCTTAATTTACATAATCATTTCCTGAAATGAAATCTGTGATTAACCAATTCCAGAAGGAACTAAGGTTCTTCGGTACTGGTGACTGGCAATAGCAAGAGAATTACTTATAACTCGATTATTTTATCAACATATAAAAAAGATTAAAACCAAAATAAACAGACACTGACTTCAGTTGGATCGAAGGATTTTTTCTTTGTTTTTATTCGGTAATCTATCACAAACTCGAATTTCTTTTTTCCGAATTTCATTATTCCGAACACGGTTCGACTTTTTTTCATTAGTGCGATGACAGTTTTGGTGTAAATTTGCAACACAGAAATGTCTTACAGCAGTAGTATCGCTTGTCTGAAAACCTATTATTATAATAATTATTACACATATGTATTCTATGTGTGAATTTTGTTTGGTTTAATCATGTTTATTATACTGTCTGTTTTCCATATAATTTAGATTGCAGAAAATTCGTTTCGACAAAATTATTATTCTTAGATAAAATTGAACCACACCGTACAATGTTACTGCACAGCTCCAAAATTCTGGACAGTACTTAGTTGGTGCACTGCAAATCCCACTTACGTAATTTTCATCATACCATTGTGCTATGTAGGTATTTGCTGTCATCGGAAATGTAATTTAAAAACAACGGTTTTGAGTATTCAATAACCAACGTATCACTGAATCGAGGCAGTACCAAAACCAATTTTGTTTGCGTTTCCTAGCTGATTTGACCCCCTAGGTTAGTTTGTAAAAGCCGCATGACTACAACCCGATCAACTTTCACCTCATTTATCATGTTTTCGAAAATGTTATTTTGACGTTAATTTGACGAGTTGTGTTGTGCAACACGTTCTAATAAATTTAATATCGGTAAGAAGAGGTAATGAAACAAAAATGTATAATGGATATCTTTTTTTTTACAAAATAAAAATATTTCATTACATCCATTGGTCACACGGTATGTTGGGAAACAAAAATCAGGAAACGAATAACTTGTCTATATGTCAAAATAGTAAAACATTAAATGACGTAATGAAAAAAAAACCAGTAACGCGTTTACGGACAAATGAAACAAAATCTATTCAATAAAAGTGTAAGGGCTTTCGGAGAAACAAAATTCTGTAAATCATGTTTCTAGCTTGTGATAGGTTACCGTTTGTTCAATCTTTGTATAATAAGAAAATGAAATACGTAATTTAAAATTTGAAAGATTTTTTAATGTTTATTAAACGGTAAAGACCCTTTGCCCAGCTAGGCAGCTGTGGATACATCAGGCTAATTGTAATTATATTAAACAGCAGAGTTGAAATGCATTTAATACATGTTACGTATTATAGGTATGTGTACGTAAAAAACAACACCCATAAAGTAGAAATGTCGATCTGTTTTATGACAGTGAAAGTTTCTGTCCTGACCTTACAGTTGACGATATTGAAAGATACTCGTATGTATATTGATAGCTATAGAGCTATAGTACTCGTATATTTAATTGATGCAATATAAACTAGGCTGACATTTATAAAACTAACTTTGAATTCGACAATCAAAAATGGCGAGCTAAGCATGTCGTTGAAAAACCAAAAGACACGACAACAAGCACATAGAAAACTTCGTGAGGTTCTGTGGCTTAGTTGGTATAGCGTCTGGCACGGTATGCTAGAAGGCGTCGTCGGTTCGAATCTGGCCGGATCGAAGGTATTGTTTGCTGAGTGTTCGATCTTTGCATTAATAATTCTAACAAGTTTTTCGTATTTACAAAACGAGCTTTTCCTATGTTTAAGCATGAAAATAAATTAAAATTTGAGTTTACTTCATAATTCTTAAACTTAGGCAAAGGTCGTTTTGTAAATATTTTTTACTGAGCACGACAATACATAATAGCCCTTATTATTTGCGGTCTACGGAATATTATCTGGATTTTGTCTATTCTAATAAACAGGAAAGATCTACATGATCGTGCTCTGAACGCTTTACGGTAAATTAAACAGCAGCTGGTACTACCTCTGTCTGCATGACGGATAGCGTGCAGACTCATTCACGCGTGATAGTGTCAAAATAGGAAGGTTGTTGTAAATTAATTTGTGTCGTGGCTAAAATAATGGTAGCGTACCGTAGAGTAAAAAGAAACAAATAATAATTATAGCCCCGTGAAAAAGTTTTACCTCTCTTGTGACTTCACCGACTTGGATTTAGTAGTAGTATGCCTGCTTGTCGGTATTCTACAAGGGGATGGCTATGGAGTAGATTTCCCTGCCTGTAGTCTTATTGCCGGAACCACGTCGGAACGTTATAACTTAGGCCTCTTCAAAGTGAGATTGAATAGGCATTATTTAGTTGTGCATGCTCCATCGTTACTTTCCAACAAGTGAGATAGATAGAGATCAAAATGCGCACTTAATTCATTAAAAAAAAAGGAAAGGAAAGTAAATACTGCCTAGGTTAGGGAAAACGTAGGCTAAGTTGACTATAATGAAATCGCATTACATTCTCTATTATTGTAATTGTAATCGAATTGGTATGAATAAAAATATAACATACAAATTAAAAGTCTTTAGCAAATTATTTATAATATTACATGTTGAAATCAATGCCTTCCCTAAACGAAAAAGTCACCTTTACCTTTCGGGAAATTAACTTCAATGTTTTTGTTTGACTTTTAAAATTTGAGACTTGTTTAGTGACGGAGTTTTTTGTTTGAGAAGTACAATATTTTCGTTTTTGTAAATGACTTTTTTAAATAACACACAATGCGGAAGTGCTGTATGTAATGAATATTATTTCAAAATATTATGCGTGTGTTGTTGTATTGTATTGTGTGAAAGAGTCGGAATTTTGTGACCATTAAGGTTTTATTTATAATTGTATCTTTTTATTACAAGCATACATCGAAACATAATAGAGAAATAGTAAATAACAGACCGTTACCAGCTTTCATTCAATTACATTGATACATGACAAAATACTTTAGTATTGTTCACAATATTCCACATTTCACTGTCTGATTCTATGCTTTTGCAATACCCGCGATTGTTCCAACGAGTCAAAGTTATAAAACTCTTACTTCATCGGTTTTTGTCTTTTTACAACATAATCTATAGATGCTGTTATTAAGGTACGTTTTTGTTTTTTCTAATGTATCATGTAAGGTTCAGAGGACTTTGAATGAAAAGTGCTAAAATCTCAACAACTCATTGTATTTCAGAAATATTACAAGTTACAATCTGTTTTCGCTTTAATCACTGTTTTCGCTCGGATGGCCGCCAAAAACTGTCAGTTCGAGAAAAGATGCGTTCGAGTAGCGAATGACTGTTTGTTACAATTATTTGATATTTATTTATCATTATTAAAACAGAATTTCAGGGATAAAACAAAAGACCGAAAATAAAGGTCACTATCCTTTATTTTCGGTCCTTATGTGACCAATATGACATCAAGTGTTTATAGAAATATGTGTGTATTATGTACTTATTTTATTTAACTGCCTCTGTGGCCGAACGGTTACCATGTCGGACTGCCATGCAGAGGTCCTGGGTTCGATTCCCAGGCCGGGAGAAATATGTGTATGGCCTACATTTATTTCTCTCGTGAGTTTGGGTGTAATTTGTGGTTGTCTATGTGTGTGTCCATGGCACCCGCGACACAGGGTTTCCCTAGTGCGGGGCTATGTTGAGTGTGTGCGTTATTATGTGTGCGTTATTATTTCTAAGAATAACTATGCCTAGTAAATTGGTAGGTATATATTTCATCTTGTCCCTTTCAGACACTTGCGACCTGTAATACAGGTGTTCTTATAGCTATCTCGGGCATCAATAACAAACTATCAAAAACAACACCTCCGATTTTGTTACTAAGTAAAATTAAATTACTATTTCATTTCATCATTTTTTAAATCTTTTTTGAATGAAATTTGTTTAAGCGAACGGCGAAACACAGAGTTAGTTCTACCGATTCTGAGATTAAAAATGTTTAGATAAACCCCACTGTAGGTATCGATGTATACTACTTTATAATAAAATTCCAATCTTCCTTAAGAAACAAGAAAATGACAACATATTCAAAACCAAATCAACGTTTCTTAATAAATTGGTGCTACTACAGTGCGAGAGACTTCATAAGACGGACTTAAGATGGACTCTTCTATAAGATGATGTGTAGAAGATGGTAAACTCTTCAACTCTTTCACAACGTAACAGTAAACTTTCCTGTTACTTTTGTGTCGAGTTTAAGTACTTTAAAGTCTATGTTTGTTTTCGTCAATTATTAGAGAGAACTAACTATTTGCTACACTCAACGCTGTATGTTTGTACTTAGTAATTACCTGAGTAAAGGTGGTTTTCCACTGGCGAGACGAAATGAGAATTGAAATCTCGCCGGCCTATTTTCACCTAAAATTGCCATAAATAGCTCTCGCTGTAGTTGTAGATAGTGACGATTCAGTACTTTTCAGTTCGTTTAGCGATAAACACGCGGCCGAAGTAACATGTCCCGTAAATTATTATTATTAAATATGTTAATGGAAGAAGAATCAGATAAAGCTACCTTTTTTAAATCTGAAATTGTACGTACGTTACAATCGCGAATGATATTAATCATGTTTCCGTTGCAGAGTATAATACTCTACGTAGGCAGCTATACGGTTAAATATGAATCAACAAATATTTAAATTCTTGCTTCGCCAATCCTCGCTAATCCAGACCAATTACACCGAAAATACGCTAAGAGAGAATTGAAATTTTGTCATAGAAATTTCGATTCTTGCCTCGTCTCATCTAGTCTCGCTTCGCCGGTGGAAAAGCATCTTAATTCATACATTGTTTGCAATAAATAAATAAGTAAATATATTCTGTATCTTTTGTATTGTATAATAGGACATCATGACATCACGTTTAGATAATTACACTGCGAAAATAATGTGTTGGTGACATTTTCGTAATTCTGATCTATATCTAGACACATTCTAAAGTCAAAAGCGTATCTTTAGCACATTCTAGAGTCTGTAGCCGTACTAATTAATTAAAACAGGGATTTTAGTGTTGAAAACTATTATATTTCAGACTCTAAGAATGAAGTATCCGGACCCAAGGCGCATTGCGGCTCAACTTTTCCCAATAGTACAGTGGTCGCGGCAATACGGTGCAGACGTTGCCATAGGTGATGTTATTGCCGGCTTCACTGTGGCCCTCACACTGATACCGCAGTCCATTGCGTATGCGTCTCTGGCTGGACTTGAACCGCAGGTATTTGTTTTTTATCTGAATATTCAAGATTTTTTATAACACTAAATAACAAACTAGTGGAAGTGAGAACTGAACGTCCAGTAGTATTAT